GAGAGAGAGAGAGAGAGAGAGAGAGAGAGAGAGAGAGAGAGAGAGAGAGAGAGAGAGAGAGAGAGAGAGTCTCCTTTTTTGGGGGGAGGGGGTAATTTGCCAAATACCCCCATAGGTTGAGATATATGTCAAACTGCCGCTAAAAGATATGGGCACAGTGGAATGGCCTTTTGGGCTGACATGTTTGTGGTCTGCCCCTGTCAGGCGGGTGTGCAAATTCGCTTGGCCTTTTGCAATTGCACCGACGAAAACTTGGCAACTGCCGGGGCATTTTACAAAGTTGGGCAGCATCCGGTAGGGGTACATTGCAAAGATGGGGTCCAACTAATGGCTGGGGTGTTTCGCAAAATGGTTTTGCCATAGTCCTTCGCCGCAGCGTAAAAGACATGGGCACAGCGGAACAGCCTTTTGGGCTGACATGTTTGTGTTATGCCCCTGTCAGGCGGGTGTGCAAATTCGCTTGGCCTTTTGCAATTGCACCTAAGAAAACTTGGCAACTGCCAGGGCATTTTGCAAAGTTGGGCAGCGTCCAGTAGGGGTACATTCCAAAGATGGGGTCCAACTGATGGTTGGGGTGTTTCACAAAATGTTTTTGTCACCGTCCTTCGCCCCAGCGTAGCTGCGGCAGGTCCACTTGCTTTCTAGAAAGGAAAAAAGAAACCAGTCGACTTCAACGAAGCTTCATAGGAGTTCTGTGCAGGTTTTCCCACACTATGTCGTTCCAGTGAAAAGGCATGACGTGAGAAAAGCACTTGTCCATAACTAGCCCCAAGCTGCCACGATATATCATCAGTTTTGCCCCTAGATTTGAAAGACATCAAATGCACATTACCCACCTGGATCGAAGCGAAAAGTCTCAATACTGGTTGGAGTGACCTGTACAATGTCAGCAGGACCTGCAAAGGATGACAGGACATGTCAGAATAATCAAATTGCATTAGAATCCTTGAGGCTTTGACAAAAGGAAGAGGCTCTGGCCAAAGGAGACACACGGTTTGACACCTCCCACAGAGGCACAAAGCCAATTATTGTGCTAAAAGACCTTAACACACGCACGGCGCACGCACACCTGTTGATACCCCCAGATCACCAGTTCAAATCCTGCAGAATTCAATAATGGCAGGAACACGTCCAACTTTTCAAAAAAGGAAAGAAAACGTTCTCGACATCTAGCCTTGTTCTGTTCCAACCAAGGCTGGGCCAGCAACCCGCCGGATCACCTGCCCCGGTATCCGGGGCCGGACCGGTCCAGGGGGGATGAACCGGCAAAACCGGATGCCCCTAAAATATGCTCAGAATTTTTTATTTTATTTTTCTGATTGCGGCATCCAACTGCGCTCGCTGAGATCTGTCGGATTTTGGATTAAAACTTCCGAAGTCAGGATTTTCTTTTTGGTTGGAGGGGGCCGGGGGACAGGTGCACAGGGTGCGTTTCATGGGTGTACAGGCCCGTAAGCAGCAGCATACATACCTGATGGAAGACGAGGCAGACGACAGTTTGAGGTGGAAGAATGCCAAGCAGAAAAGGGTGAAGAAGACAAAGAAGAAGAAGAAGAAGAAGAAGAACAACAACAACAACAACAACAACAAAGAAGAAGAAGAAGAAGAAGAAGAAGAAGAAGAAGAAGAGAGATGAAACAGATAAAGGGTTGAAAATTTGAGAGCAGCGGCTCAGCACCCGATTCAAAGTTTCTTCAAGTCAAACATCTGCACCAGTTCCAGATCTCTCTCTCTCTCTCTCTCTCTCTCTCTCTCTCTCTCTCTCTCTCTCTCTCTCTCTCTCTCTCTCTCTCCAA